GTACAAGCCTACGAATATCCTGTTTCAACAGAATAAGTGTGAGGTAACTGGCAGTCAGCCACCCTTCCAAGAGAAAGGTGAGCTATTCTGTGCAAGAAACCCAAAGTTCTCAGGAACCTGCTGCCACCTGTGTGCAGTGTGCTTTCTTGCACAGCAGTAGCTCATCCTTCTTTCTGGGCTTGGGGGGGTCTCCTGGTGCCAGCAGCCAGGTCTCAGTGCAAGGCTCAGGCATCTCGTGGTGAGAAATAGTGAGGCATGTAGAGAAAATGCCACAGGTCGCTGTGCTGCACTGCTTTGTCTGCAGAAAGCAAAGAAATATGAAGATAAATCTGGGCTTACTGCTCTTTCTGACAGTTTCTCTGCCTGTTTCTGATCACCAAGGTGTGTTGTATGGGGATGCTTCTGCTTCTCTCAGCAGCCAACCCACAACTTGTGCCAAAGCAAGCACTGGACAGCAGTATTTCTGGTCCTAGGGGAAGAAGAGGTGATGGCATCAGTGCTTAAAGTGGCTTTAAGATGCGGTGTGGTGGAGTGGTCCTTCAGGTGCCACAGGGGAAACCTGAGAACCACAGTTCATGGTTGTTAGTTTCACAAAGTAAAGAGTAAGGATGCTGAAGAGAGTTCTAGTTTTGTTTCCATCTGGAACAGTCACCATTCACCTAAATGCTGGTGTTGGAATAGCATCAACTCAGTTTGCACTTCTGTGGTTAAGAAGTGTTTATCCTATTTATAAGGTTGTGTTTATAAAAGCAAACTAACATAGGCTGTGTTGTTTTTGCCATTCTCAGTTGGCATCCAGCGTAGCCTCCTGCTTTGTTTTGGTCTGTTGTGCCAGGTTTCCTTTGTGTTATTCCCACTTAGTAAGCCTGACTTCTTAATTACATGAATAAAGCTTAAAAGCTCTTTTTGTCATCACCTGCCAGGGTAGAACTGTGGCTGTGCTGTAGCTTTAAGTCAGAAGTGTGCACAAGTTACAGAACTGAGGTTGTAAATCTCTATCACATCACGTACCCAGCAGCAGGGTGGTTCGCTAATGTTATCACCTGCTACTTAACAAGTTTATTGTGCCCTCGTTCCTTTGCAAAGTGAGGTTTCAAAGTGCTGCAAATTGCTTGAAGGTGTTTTGAATGCTAGGCAGTGCTTTGCATGAACTCTAACCTGGATTTGTTTCACTCCTGCAGGATAAACAGTGCTATACTGGAAATACTGCTCACTACCCTGCAAAGTTTGGTTTCCTGACTTGGCTGCTGTTAAGCTTTCTCCCCAACTCAGTTATGTCAGGGGAACCAAGCTCTTTATTTGCTTTATTTGGTAGCTCTGCTTCATTTCCTTTGTGTTCTTCTGCCACAGTTCCCTTTCTGTTGCTGCAGCCCCCATCTTGCTCTCACTTGTTTCTCCTACCTGGATTTTAAGTTGAAGGCTGTCAAGGCAGTGATGACGCTGTCCGAGCTCAGTGGCTTTTTGGAATGACTCCAGAAATTCCAGCTGAAGGGAAGAATTAGGGTGCTTTGAGTTAATCTTTGCAAATCCTGCAGACAGAGAGTTGAAATCCATACTAACAGGGGCTTAACAGTAATCTCCTGGAACAGTGGCCATAAGCAGACACCTTGGCTCTGGCTGTGCTGGTAAGGATCCTACAGAGCCTGATGCCTTTGTCCTGGTAAAGCTTGGGGTAGGGAGCTGAACTTAAGGGGCACTACCTCTGTGTCTTATGGCTGTGCTCCACCAGGAACAAGAGATATATTCCATGGGTTTGTGTTCTTTCCTCATGCTTCTCTCTGAACCTATCAGTGGGGTGATTAACGCTTCAAATGATGAGCTGAAATACGTCACAGAAATAAAAAGAATTGTCCTAAGAAGGAGAAAAGCTAAAGGGGCAAAAGGAATCAAAATGTGGATGTTATCTGGACATTTACAGCCATAGTTCGAGCTGCTGACATATGAAGCGTCAGCTCTGCAGAACTGAGGATGAGAATAGGTCACAAAGACTGTTGGCTGTGTCCTGCAATTGTCCAGAAAAGCAAACACCATTCTGACATTTTCGGATAGTGTTGCTGTAAGTGAAACCCAGGAAAAGAAGTCTTGCAGGAGCGTGGTGCCTGCTGTGGGGTACTGCCCCATCCCACGGATGGGAAGCGTGCTGTTGTTTGCAGCAGGGGAAGGGCAGCTGGTTGCCACAGGCAGGTGTGGGCATGCTGCAGGGAGCTGACCTTTGGATGGAAGGTTTCTCAAGTGATTGTTGCTACGTGCTCCTATTGTGGCAAAGGGGATCAGCCCCTATCTGCGTGGCAAACCTGGAGCCTTCTGTGGAGTCCAGAGCAGCCCTGCAGGTGATAGCTCCATCCCTAGCTCTGCAGAGCTTCTTTCTCACGTATCTGCTTTTGGCCACCCACCTGGCTGCTCTCCTGGTCCTGGTTGGGGTGCAGTGTAATTATGGAGCAATGCAGGAAGGGGGCAGGAAGGAGTTAGGGAAATGTCTTTTCTGTTCTAAAGGAAAGCCATGAAATAACTGCAAAATATCCTTTTTGGCTTTTGCATTGTGTGCATGTCCCCTCCTCCCCCTCTTTTTCTTTCTTGATGTCATGTACAAGACTGAGTGGGGTGAGAGAAGGTGGTGTCACAGCTCATGTGGGGACAGGAGATGGGGCAGGGGTCAGCAACACCAAGTCCAGGGAGGAGTTGCATGCTCCGATGTTTTGCTGAAATTCAGGTTCTCTCAAAATAGTCTTGTTTGTCTTTTTATCATTAACCAAAGTCAATAGTTCATAGCTTTGACTCTGTTTTTGCGTGCCAAAAGTGAATGGGAACCTGTGTGAGCAGATGGCTCTGCTCTGGCAGGTTGGCTGTTTGGAACATGGAATTGGAGACTTATAAAGCGTGACCACAAGGGAAAGCTAAGGAAATTGGGAAATTGGGATTATTTCCTGTAGAAAAGAGAGGATACTGTGAGCCTCTGTGTTAAAGGATCATTGTGATGTGCAAGAAAGTGTCAGAAGGAGGATTATGATTGGTTTGTTCTCTGACAGCTCAGGAAGGCTTAAGAGAGGTAGGACAGACTGCAGGAAGATGCTTCTGACTGCTCTGGCGCCACACCTGAAGACAGAGATTTCAAGAACAGGCTGCAGGGGCTTTCTGAAGGGTGCCTAGGGGATGTGTGATCCCACACCAGCTTTGGGGAGGGTTCAGAGGACCTGCTGAATTCCTTTCCATCCTGTGAGTGATTGCAGGTGTCCGAGCAAAGACTCCCAGGTGATGAATCGAATGAGCCTTTCCCTCCCCAGGGCTGAGGTCTGCCTCTTGAGTCTTTTATCCTTCTGGGTCTCCTGGTAAGCATGCAGACACCGGCCTAACAGTCCTGGCTGACCCGTTGCTAGTGTTTGTCCCAAACAGTGACATAGGTATTGCAGGAAAACCCTGGGATTGGGTGAGTGCTCCAAAGACAAGCTCCACAGATATGCCACTTCTGTCCCTATGCTTTGCATGTACTGCCTCACAGCTGGATTCTGTAGTTTGTTTGAAGTAATGCATTTCTTTTTGTGTATCTTAGCACGGCAAGTGACTTATCGCCTTCCTCCCTGTGCTGAGTTTGGTTTCTGTGCTCCACAAGTGCAAGCTTCACTAGCTCTTCATCCAGCTAATGTGTGGGCATCCAATCGGGGAGGAGGAGGTGTGCCTGGCATTTTGTGGCACAAAGAGTTTGGCTGGGGGAAAGTGCTCACAGGCTTTTCCCTGCCAGGAGGGCTCGTTCTGGGAGCTGGGCTTTGTTTCCTGCGCCACTAGAGGGAAACCTCCTCCTTTGCATGGAAATGAAGGCGCTGCAGCTGCAGGATGCTGGAACAGCACGAAGAAACACGGGTAATACACACATGGGTGGTTGCTGGCTGCATGGCACAGGCAGTCTTGCTGTTGGAATAAAGTAAAGATTGTCGTAAGAAAATCTGTCAGTGTTTGGAGCCAAACAGTCAGGAAACAGTCCTGTGGGAGCCCCCACAAAGCGTCACAGTTCAGCTGTGTACACAACTCCTTTTCTCCTCCCCTCCTTAAGTATGGAACAAAATGAGTCATTAGGAAGTGTAGGGTCCTTCGTTATCCAGAAATATCTGTGAATTCTGCCAGCAGCTTGGACAGAGGACTCTAAGTGTCATTAAAAGGGAAACCACGGTTTCAATCCAGCATTCGAGACTGAGGGAGGTGATGCCTCAATAACTGCTTGAATTTGGATCTCTGGTGGGTGCAAGCTTTTCCAAAATTAATGACTTTGTCGTAAGCCGAGTTCTAATTTGAAAGCCTGGGGTTTTTTTTCTAATAACTTTTGTCATGCACAGTGCCCAGGGTAGGACTCGTGCTGGTATTCAGTTGAAAGCATCGCTTTAGCAGTGTTCTAGCTGCTAATGGATTTCTCTTAGTTAAGCAGAGGCTGGTTGTGCACTGCAGACGATGTCCCGTTATTTGGGGGTAGCTGGCGCCGGAGCTGTCAGGATGTCAGAGTGGGACTCGTGTAAGCAAAGTGTGGGTAACAGATCCGTTGCCTTCCATTTTAAGAGTGACCTTTAGCTTGAAGGAGGCTGCAAAATGCTGCCGTGCCCGCGGGAGGCTTTTCCTCCAGGGCCACGCAGATCTGCTGGGCTGGCAAAAACGCTGTGCAGCGCATCGGTGTGCGGGAGCCGGTGCTGAGCTGCGGACGGAGGGCAGGCGGACGGACGGCGCCGGCGGTGATAGCACAGAATGGGGAAGGGCCGTGCCTGGAGGGAGCACAAGGTGCAGGAGGAGGCAGAAATCACCTTTTGCTGAGTGCTGGGAGAGCAGCGTGGGGTCGTGTGTTCCTCGTGACATTGATCCTCCACGGCAAGTGCAGAGAAACATCTTCAGTTACAGGAGCCGTGTTCAGCTCAACGTTCAAGGAGCTATTTTTGGGTGCTCGGCAGCTCTGCTGAGCTTCTGTCCATAGGTGTGCCATTGCTGGTGTCAAGACTGACACGTTTTTTTAAAAATTATTCTTTTTCTTTTGTATTTAATCGTAGTTTACTTCTTAAATGCATTTATTTGAAGAAAGAACATGGAAGCTGGTCCTCTGCCTCTGCTGACTGTGCCAACAGCTCCTTACAATGATCAGAAACCAGGAACCAGCGGATTACGGAAGAAGACCTATTATTTTGAATCCAAAATGAACTATTTGCAGAACTTTATCCAGAGTATATTTTTTTCCATAGACCTCAGAGATCGACAAGGATCTTCTATGGTAGTTGGAGGCGATGGAAGGTACCTTAATAAGGCTGCAGTGGAACTGATAGTCCAAATGGCTGCTGCCAACGGGGTTGGTAAATGCTATATGACTAAATTCCTGTGGTTGTATAGCTGATAAATGCAGAAAACCAAAGCAAATTAGTCAGTGGGAGATTGAATTTTCCCATAGATTTTACTCAATTGCTAACAGAAAACATTTCAATGGAAAATCATACTGAAATTACTGTTAATTACTGTTAAAAGAAAGCTAGCACTGAGTGGAAACCTGTACAGCGATTTCTGGTTGTGTGGAAAGCAGGTGAGCCAGGGCTGTTTGCAGCAGAGCATGGCTCAAGCACCGCAGTGCTCTTGGGCACAGGGGCTGTATCTGTGTTTCCTGTTGCTTTTGAAGAAGAAAAGGCTTTGCTGTCTGTTCTGTGTTTCCTAATGCAGAGCAAAACTTTACAGTGAGAGATCTGGCTTATGGGAATGTGTTTGACAGGAAAGCTTATCCGATCACAACAGGGTGATTTGTAATAAGCAATTGAATAAGAAGAGAGAGATATATATTTTTCTAAATCAAAATGTATTCCAGCTGGAAAAGAAAAATCCTCTGGCATTGCAAATTAATGTGTTCCTCTTAAGTCATTGTATGGGCTGAGTCAAAGAGCTGGAAGACGTGCACAAAGCAAGAGCCAGGCCTGCTGCCTGGGCTTCTCCACACCAGGACAGGTTTCCTGTTGGTGAAGATGAGATTAAGCTGATCTGCATCAGCTGAGACTTCTCTGTTGCATTTCTTTCCAGCATTGTGTCCCGTGCCTGGCTGAAAACAAGTTTTGCTGTTGAGTTTGGTATCTTTTGTTAGTTATTTTTAAGTAGTCTGGCTAAAGCGTGTGACTTTGTTAATCAGTTCTGTGCTAATCTTGCTCTGTAGAGTAGGAGGGATGAGTCTGAGGATGTGTTCCACTATAAAAAGCCACAAGGGAGGGCATGCATGTCGTAGTTTGGATGTGCAGAAGTGTCTGTCGGCATGTGGCAGATACAGGTGCTGTCACCTCTGCAGATGTGGGATCAGCAGGATTTCCGAGCAGCACCGAGCGCGTTCCCTGTGCCAAGTGTGGAAAGCATGGTTTTGGGGGTGAAGAACATCAGGTCTGTGTCATTGGGGTGCAGAGGGGACCCGTGGGAGGTCCTTGCTGCTGAAACAAAGCATGAAGCAAAGAGAAAGCCAAACCCACATAGATCAGGCTGCTACAAATTCGACATATGGCACAATGCATCCTGTGATCTAGGTAGTTGGTGCTGTAAGGGCAGCAATATCCTGACCAGCTGGTAGAAGGGCTCTCACACCTCACACTGGGTTTCTAAGCTGCTGTTTCAGGTCTGTGCCCATGGCCTGCAGGAGACTGGGCTGCTCAGCTTCCTACTTGCCTGGCAGCTGTAGGGCTTAGCGCCCAGCAGTGCCACAGCCAGGAATGGCAGCCATCCCACAGAGCCAGCTTAGCACCGCGTGGGGGATTCAGGTTGAGCAGGCTGGCTTTTGTTTTCTGGATCCTCTTGCCTTTGAATGAAATTCCTCCTCTTTTCTCAGCTGTATTCACAGTCTAATCTCCTTGGCTGATGGAGAGTGGTCTGGTGTATTTTTAAATCTCTATCACCTCATTTGGGGGCTATGGTGAGGGGCATGTTCTCCTAGAAAAACATTTATCTTCAGTTTTATTATGTGGACCCCAGCAACTGAATCTTGATTACCTTGTGCTGCTTAGCACGTTGCTCTGGATTTAATCTCAGTGATATTACCAAATTTATGGGAGGGAGGTGCGTTACCCGCTGAGAGTAAGAGAATCTGCATGTGGTCCCATGGGAGCAGTGATGATGATCGACTTTTGTTTTGCTTTGGCTTCTCTCAGTCCCATTGTGTCTTTTGAAAGCAGTGTTCGAGACCACAGGCAAAGGTTTTTTTTTGTTTCGTTTAGATGCCTCTGGAAAGCTCTGCTCTTCAGTGCAGGATGCCATTTCCAGTGCTCATAAACGAGAATGCTAAAAAGGCATGCAGAGCAGGGTCAGATGCTGATCTTCTAGTGATATAGCAGAGAGCTTGCAGCCTCTCAGGTTCAAAATGTTTGCTTCAGGACCTCTGCCATCCAGGTGCCCCTGACGAGGCCCTGCTTCACCTGTTGCTGTTGGGGTGTTTGGTGCTTTGGCTGTATTCAGAATTTGAGTCTCAAAGTAGTTTGTTCTGCCCTTTGATTTTCAGATTGGCCGTTTGGTCATCGGGCAGCACGGCATTCTCTCCACCCCAGCAGTGTCCTGCATCATCAGGAAAATCAAAGCCATCGGTGGCATCATTCTGACAGCAAGCCACAATCCTGGTGGGCCCCATGGAGATTTTGGGATTAAATTCAATACGGCCAATGGAGGTAAAGTTGCTTAGTTGATTCTTGTTTGCTTTGTTTCTGCTTGACTTGCCTTGTGTTGGCAACAAAGAACCCAATTTAATTGTTTTAACATCACAGAAATTCAGTGAGTGGCCTGAGCAGTGGGATTCCCTGAACACGGAATTGGTGTGGTTAAAGGTGGCAGGGACCTCTAGCTCCATCTGGTCCAACCCCTGCTCCAGCAGTGACACCTAGAGCAGCTGGCTTGAGACCACATCCACAGTGATCAGTCTGCTCACTGGTATTCTCTCCCAGCGAGGCATTCCGAGCCCCAGGCCTGCTGATCTACCTCTGCATTGCTCTTTCCTCACGCTCTGTTTCTTTAACTTCTTCCCCTTGCCCATTATATCTTGCAGGTCCTGCTCCAGAAGGAATCACAGACAAAATTTTCCAAATTAGCAAAAAAATTGAAGAGTATGCAATCTGCCCAGATCTCAAGGTGGACCTGGGTACCATTGGAAAACAGCAGTTTGATTTGGAGAACAAATTTAAACCCTTTACAGGTAAATGACTGCTCTTCCCCTTCAGAAGTTTCCTTTCAGGTGAAGCTGGCACAGGCCTCCGTAGGACAGGGACACTTGGTGCTTTGAAGGGCACATGGTCTGACCTTCCCTTCTCATCTATTGGATAATCCAACCAAGAATATCTGTCCTGGTCATCATGGATTTATTTATTTTATTTTTTGCCTTCATCTCACCTTGTCTAGATATTTTAATTGTATTGTTTCTGTTCACTCGTCCCATTAGTTGCAAAGGTGCAAATTTTAAGGCTGTCAGGTGCACAATTCATGCTGATGTTGGTGGAGATTGGAAGTCTGTTTTTATATGCATTTTTGTTCCCTCTAATCCCACTCTACACATAACTGGAGTGGAATGGAAACTTCTCAAAGGGTGTCTGGGGAGCTGAGGCTGTGACTAGCAGAGAACTGGGGAAGATGTCTTCAGGATTTTGTTGGTCTGTTTGGTCTGTAATCCCATTAGCAGTGGCAGCCCATAACCAAATGTTTCTTAATAGAGGAATATTATCATCATCTTTGTGAAATGATTCTATGTGATGTTTAAAGGCTCTGTGCTGAGCCCTGGCCCTTTGCATTGAGGACTGTCAGCACAGTGGCTCACGTACTGAAATTGCTTTTCTGCATAGAGTTCAGATTGTCAGAGTTAGTTTCTCTCTGTTTTTTTGTTTTTTTTTTCCCAGTGGAAATTGTGGATTCTGTAGAAGCTTATGCAAGTATGCTGAGGAACATCTTTGACTTCAATGCATTAAAGGAACTGCTTTCGGGGAAAAACCACCTCAAGATTCGCATTGATGCAATGCATGGAGGTATGGGTGGGGGTGGCTCTGCTGGTCTGTAGGGTTCTGCCTCCTACTTCCCAGAGAAGGCACTTTTTTGTTACTGATGTTTGAGAGCAATAAGTCCTGCTGTGCTGCTGGATTGCTGTGAATCAGACATACAGTTTGTCTTCTTGTCATTCTGATACTTCAGTGTACTTGAGGTGTCCTTCTTTACCTTCTGCTTGATTCCTTCCTTCCCACATTTTCCTATGGCAGTTGTGGGCCCTTATGTGAAGAAGATCCTGTGTGAGGAGCTGGGAGCACCAGCAAACTCTGCTGTGAATTGCACCCCACTGGAGGACTTTGGTGGCCACCATCCCGACCCCAACCTGACCTATGCTGCTGATCTGGTCCAGACCATGAAGACAGGAGAGTACGACTTTGGAGCTGCCTTTGATGGAGATGGGGTAAATGGGCTGCTCTGTGTTCATCTTTTTGCCCCCGATGGAGAAGGGAGGATGTTGGCTGAGGAGGATGGATGTGAAGGCTTTTTTCTCCTCTCCCTTCTTAGCTGCACATGGATGAGAGCATCCTGCAGCACAGGAAGTTCCGCACAAACATGCGCAAGAACTTCTTTACAGTGAGGTGAGGAGCACTGGAACAGGGGCTGCCCAGGGAGGTGGTGGAGTCTCCTTCTCTGGAGATGTTCAAGACCTGCCTGGATGCTGACCTGTGCGACCTGCTGTAGGAACTGCTTTGGCAGGGGGTTGGACTCGATGATCTCTGGAGGTCCCTTCCAACCCCTACAATTCTGTGATTCTGAGAACCACTCGATGCAGATCACAACTGTTGGCAGTAGTTGACTAATGTGTAAATAGTGAAGTCCAAACTGTATTTAAATGGCTCTAAAGGTTATGTTTCTCTTGTCTTCGTCAGGACCGCAACATGATTCTTGGCAAGCACGGCTTCTTTGTGAACCCCTCTGACTCCGTTGCTGTCATCGCTGCCAACATTCTCAGTATCCCTTACTTCCAGCAGACCGGGGTCCGTGGCTTTGCCCGCAGCATGCCCACCAGCGGGGCTCTCGACAGGTAGCACCTACCTCTGCACAGTGCCCTGACAAGACAGCAGCTGTCCTTTTTCTGTGCCTGACACGTGTCCGTAGTGGGGAGAGTTCTGGGGTCACTGAAACGTAACGCGTTAAATTCGGTTTGAGGGCATGGCAGAGCTGGGTTCTGCTCTTGGCTCTCTTTTGTCTGTATGGATATGGTTCACCCCCTCTCCCCTCCCCACTTTGTGTTTTTTAAATTTTAATTTTAATCTGATAATCTATTTGTGAAATGCTTTGACATCTACAACTGCAAATCGATTTAGAAGAGCTGTATATACATATATATATATATTTATCTTTAGTTGTTCTTCCCAACAACCTCCCGAAAGGTAACACCAGGATAAAACGCTGCATTGCTGTACAAAGAGCAACTCTTAATAAAGCAGAGACACGATCTGCTTTTAGTGTTACTCCTCAGGAGATGTGTGGTAACTGCTGGGGCTCCTGCTGCAGTGTTTCACATGGGTGCACTAAGCCCAGCTGTGTGTGACGTAGCCTTCTTGCCTTCTAAGGGTGGCCCACGCGACAAAGATTGCTTTGTATGAGACTCCTACTGGCTGGAAGTTCTTTGGAAACTTGATGGATGCAAACAAACTGTCTCTGTGTGGAGAGGAAAGTTTTGGTACTGGTAAGTGGGTGTTCCTGATCTCACTAATGGAGGCACTAGTCCTCTTCGTAGTTCTTTACTGTGCTGGCCTACTTGGGGTTTATCTTTCACGTGAGGTTAATACTTCTAAAATCATTGAATAAAAAAGCTTACAAGCATCCCTGGTGAAAGCATACACAGCACTCAGAGTTCTGTCAGGCAAAAGAATCCCTGGTGAAAGCATACACAGTGCTCAGAGTTCTGTCAGGTAAAAGCTCGTTCTCTTTCCAGAATGCATAAGGAGATATGCAGGAAGTCTAAGGGCCTCTTTACTAGCCCGGTCATTGAGTCTATGGGGATTAAGTGCAGCGTTAAAAGTATTTTTCAACTCTTGGTGGCCAGGAAAACCTTCTAAATGTTTTCATTTCTGGAAAGAAATATGGTTTGGAGCATGCAGTTTTATTAGGGGAGGTTTCAGGTCACTATTAAATCTCCGAGCTTAATAGGGCCCTCATTTTCCTGTTCTAAAAACAAGGTATGATTTATAAAGTTTAAATTAACACTTGCCTTTGAACAGTCGGAGCGAGTGATTGGGTTACTGAGAAACAAAGCGAGCATCTTTAGGAATTTACCAGGGGTGCAGTGTGATGCATGGCTGTTATTGGTGCAGGCTCTGCACACTGCCTGCTAGGCTGCAGCCTGGTTGCCTCGTGGCGTCTGCCCACCGTTCTGGGCTTTGTCTGGCCTGGGTTGTCCTTAAGATCTTGTTCTTCCATTGTGTGTAGTGCTCAGGGGCAGCCAGAGGTGCAGGGCTTGGGGAGATCATATTTTAGCCTGCTTTAAGGTGTTTCATGGAGCAGGAGTGGCTTCAAATACCAGACGTGAAGTGCTTTGTGGATCTCTGTCACAAAGTGTTACCACCTGAGCTTTTTGGTAGCTGAGGACATGGCACTGCAGACTAGCTGAAAGCTGGTTGCCGTGAGGCTGAAGAAGTCACCGGGGCAAAACTTTTGCAGGCAGATGCTTTTCTAATAAACAGAACTAGGCCTCAGTCTGGAAGGAAAGGGGAATTTTGGATAACTTTGGTATCTCTGTAAAGATAACTTGAGGGTAATTGTGAGCATAGGAGGATTTTGGAGTTTAGCCCTGAATGATTTCAGCATGTGTTAAGTTTATGTCGCAGCCTTTAGCTGATGAGAGTGGCTCAGCATTTAGAAAATACAAACAACAGCAGCAAATGATTCATGGAGCTGCTGATAGGAGCTGGGCTCTAACGAGCAACTCTCTGAAATTGCTTCCATCTTCTGTCGCATGTGCAGTGAGCTCATGCTTTCTCTCCAGCCTATGATAGGTAGGTGACTACATTGCCAATAAAAGTGACTGAAACCACTTGCAGTGGGGCTGAGAGGGAGGCTCGATGTTTTGGCTGTGCTGCATCACACCTGGGCTGCACGCTGGGGTCGTTGTTGGGGGAACACTGGGCAAGGGCCGGGGCAGCCTGTGCTGGGCTCCCTGCAATGCAGAGGGCGTTTGTCTGTCTGGCAGAGGCCCTTTAAAGAATGAAATGGGGTGAGGGAGGTTGTTCGATAGCAATTTAATGAGGAGTTGTTTGGAGTCTGACAGTGTGAGTGCTGAATGGGAGCAAGGTGAAGGAGCAGCCAAAGAAACCCAGTAAAAATTGAAACAAACTGCGACCCGGCGGGACCAGGGTCCAGCAGCAATTAGAGTAATGCGACGTGACAGAATTCCTGCTTGTTTTCTGGGGTGTTTTATTCCAGCAATAAGTTGATACATCACAAGGGACTCCTGTTTATTTAGCATTCCTCTCCATCACCTCTGCGCAGCTCTCAGCTGTGCAGGGCTGTGAGGATAATTTACCACCGCACCCACAATGTGGGGTTTGTGTCTCGCACCTCGTGGCCCCAGCTGATTTTCTGGGGGGTGAAATGGTGGCTCCGGCCAACTCCCCCCATTGGCAGGTGTGCCCTGGCTCCTTGGGGTTTTGGTAATACTAGCCTGCATGTTTTCCAGAGCCCAAAGGATAAATCCCAGAAGCTGTGCATTGAGCCTAGCACTGAGCTAACCAGTCAGGAAGATGGAGGCTGGGTTGGGTCTGCTCTGGCTGCTGTTGGATCCCACATTTAACTCTGGTATTTGAGGCTGGGATGAATCTATCTCCTTGTGTGAATGAAGTCCTCGTGCTGCTGCCCCTGTGGCTGCTGTGCTCCCCAGCACCCTGCAGTCTTGGAGCCGTTAGGGTTTGGCTTCCTCAGCGAGGGCTGGCATTTCTCTTGGTGCTCAGCCACCGCCTGCACCATCAGGGTGTACTGATTTGGCACAGTGTGTGACAGCTGCTCAGAGAGGCTGATGGTAGCTCTTGAGCTGCTCCTTTGCATTTGCTTATTTATTTATTTAGTTAATTAGTTAGTTCCATGACCTTTTTAGTGCACATTCCCCATTGCTTCCTTGGGAACAGAATGAAGGATCTGTGAGCAATGAGTATGTTTTAAAGGGAACTGAGTGTTTTATTTGGGCTATAGCTGAAAACAGATGATATCTTGAACTGCTTTAACAACACACGAGCATCCTGCTTGTGAAATGCTTTCCATTTGTGGGGCTGTACTACTGCCAGCTTGGTGGAAGAGCGGAGGTGAAGCAGAGCTGTGCACAGGCTCTGGCCTGGTAGAAGGGCAACATAATGTGTCTGTGCTGTGGTTCTCTGCAGGCTCCGACCACATCCGTGAGAAGGATGGGCTCTGGGCAGTCCTGGCCTGGCTGTCCATCCTGGCTGCCCGCAAGCAGAGCGTGGAGGACATCATGAAGGATCACTGGCATAAGTATGGCAGGAACTTCTTCACCAGGTGAGGAAGTGCTCCGGGCACCTCGTCCTTCCCTCTGCCCTGTGGCCAACCAAGGATGAGCCCTTAGGAAGGAGCTCAACAACCTGAGCACCAGCCTTGCTACCACAGCAGTTTCTGCCTTGTTGCACATGCTTTTTTCTGAGGTGTTGCAGTGTTTGAAGCTCGCTGGCTAGTTTGTGCAGCTTCTATGAGTCCAATAAAGCTGTGGGTATTCATCTTAACCTTTCATGATGTCCAGGTTAGAATTTGTTGCTCTGAATACAATCTATTCATTATCAAACTTGGCGAAGGTTGTGCAACTCTTCTTACATCTATCTGATAGGTAGGGTTTTTTTAAATTATTTATTTAATGGAGATCTTTTCTTGAATTTAGGGTTAGGATAAGAATTTTTCCTACTTTAGAGCAGTGTGCTTCTTTAGTTTACGTCTTACAAATTATTTTGTAATATCTTGAGCGATGACTTTGCCTCACTGAATGGGCACCCAGCTCCTAGGCAGTTATTTACCTGGTTGAATTTCTGTCCAGTTCCAAAATACTCTTACTTTAAACTACTATAGACACAGGAGATGAAAAAGGAGAACTGACCTGCACATGAGCAGAAGAGGGGATGCTATCTGGAGTGAGAGTATTAGGGTAGAAATCTTTTTGGAAGACCTACATGAAATTTCTGTCTTCAGTTGCTAAATGTAAGAACTTTTTCTTTTTTTTTCTTTCTTTTTTTTTTTTTTTCATGCCACAAAGCCAGCATACATCTAAGGCATTTAAAGCTGTAGAAGAAGTGCCAAAATCTGGTATAAAAAGATAGTCTGCAAGCACCGGAGAGATGTCTGCATAGAAAGCTAGGTGGAGGGGGAGGCAGCTAGCAAGCCTGTGCATGCTGTGTCTGGCTAGCTGGGCAAATAAAAGCAGTGCAAATCACACTGGCAATCAGAGTGGAGTCTCGGGTCCTGATCTGTGCACACGCTGGAGCTGCTGCACTTTCTGCTTCTCTTACTTACATTAGCTAGATCAAAGCTGCACTGGGTGTTATCATGTGCTGGGATCACACCTTTGCTTTGCTGTGGGGACACACTGAGGTGCTCAGGCAGGTCTGTTATCATGAGGAGCCTGTTGAGATCCTATCAGAATAAATGCTTTGCAGTCAGTGTTGGAGTCTGGCCCTGCGTCTTTCTCAATTTTAGATGTATCTGAGATAAGTTGCTGTGTATCCCACAGATTTGTGTTGCGCTCATACACTGCTGCATGTGCCCTCTCCTTTCTTCTGGTCCTTGTCTCTGGTATGAGTAGAAAACATGGGGCTGATCACAGCGTTGTTAAACAAGGACATTGCAGAACACTGCTGCTAATTACACACCTTCCTAATCTTTGTTTCTACTGTTGTAGATACGACTATGAGGAGGTGGATGCAGACGCAGCTGGTAAAATGATGAAGGATTTGGAGGCTGTGATGTTTGACCGCTCCTTTGTGGGGAAGCAGTTATCAGCTGGGGACAAAGTCTACACGGTTGAGAAAGCTGATAACTTTGAGTACCACGATCCCGTGGATGGAAGCGTCTCCAGAAACCAGGTGGGCACAGTGCTGCTGCTGCTTGGGGTGGCCCGTGGCCTCTGAGAGATGAGTGCTGAATATTGGGCATCTTTCTTTACCGCATCTGGACCTTTCTCTGAAGTCAAGGAATGCATCTGACCCTTGGAAAAGGTTTTTCTCCCCTGCGTTGGCCAGCGGGATCTTGGCCTTTGTGAAGGGATGGGGAGGGGATGCTAGGAGAGGGAAGGCTGCTGGGAGCAGGGCCAGGCTGGGTACCTCAGACCGTGCCTGGGTACCCGAGGGGCACATGGCTGAGCAGCTCTGCTCCTCTCTCCCCAGGGCTTGCGGCTCATCTTCTCCGATGGCTCTCGCATCATCTTCCGGCTGAGCGGCACCGGCAGCGCTGGAGCGACCGTGCGGCTCTACATCGACAGCTATGAGAAGGATGCTAAGAAGATCCACCAAGACCCACAGGTAGGTGTGAAATCTGAGGCGTGGCGCCGCTGGTTCGCAGCCTTACTGAAAAGCATGGATCTTTGCTTAGTACTGCTTTGCTTAGAGCCGTGCGCTGGGTGTTTTGGAAGGAAGGGCTTTGATGTCTTCAATCCCAGTGTAAATAGCTTTTAAAAAAGCTCTGTGTGGAACAAGCATTACTTATTCAGAATCTCTCACAGCTGCTTTTGCAGTCACGCATTAGTTTTCCTGTTTACGTTACATCTGCGGCTGATTCCAGGTGTGGAAGGACGCTTTCCAACCTGAACTGACCTTCTGGGCAAAACGTTGCTTCACTAGGGATAGGACGAGCTCATTTCTGTGCATCACCTAATACTGAAAGAATCCTCGTTTTCTATCCCCAGCAAATAGAACTCTTTGTGCACGGCTTGCTGTTTTTGACAAAGGCATAAAAAACGTGGGAGGTGGAGGCGATGCGCGCAGGCTGCGCGTGGTGCTCTGCCCCGGTCCTGAGCCATCTCTCCCCTCTTGCAGGTCATGCTGGCTCCTCTCATTTCTATTGCACTGAAACTCTCACAGCTTCATGAAAGAACCGGCCGCACCGGTCCCACTGTTATAACATAAAGGCTCATCCTGGCACCAAGGGAAAGAAGCCAGCCCGTCGCCTCTTTTATTGTCGGGTCTGTCGCTATAAAAGGAATATTAATTTTATCTGTGTATTTAAGAACACTGCCCGCTACAGATAGACAATAAAAACCAGCTCCTGTCAACACTTTGTGTGCACACTGCTGTGCTGCTTTTCTGCGTCACACAGCACTGCTGGCACGTCGGTATGGTGCTCGTTAGCTCAGCCTGTTGGGTTAGCATATGTACTTCTTTTTCCTTTGCTTAAACAAAAGGCTCTAGAAATAACAAAGAACCCAACTCCCTGAATTACTGATGAATGTATTCTCTCTCTTGGACACTTTCCTGGAAAAGAAGAGCACTTTACCCTTGTTAATATGTTGTCTTTAAAATTTGCTGTCTCTCAGTAAGCAATGGACGTGCATTAATACTGAGTATTTTTCACTCGTGGATTTTTTCCCTTTCAAAACTAATTGTGTACATTGCTCTCTATTTGCCTTGCTATCTGTATAAGAAAAAAAACCACAACACAACCTCCTCAAGAAATAAGCAGTAACAGTCATTGCAGGATATTAAAGTGGTATGAGCTACAATTACTGTTCAGCGTTCTTTTATTTTCTTGCACCGTGATCTTTTGAAGACCAAAGGACTGTTTTGATGAGGTTGTTTGGTAGAATGGCAAGATCCTTGGAATGATCACAGTTGTGTGCATTGATGTGCTAAGTCTTTTCCAAGGGCATGGAGGAGGTGACTTTGGAAACAGCTGTAGCTGCTGAGTGTCAGTGCAGCTCCCTGCCCTCGTGCTGGGGCTGTCCTCTCCATGCTGAGCTGGGTCCTGCTCCCATCCTGGCCTGCTGCCATCGTGCTGGGGAGGATTGAGGTGTGCTTGTGTTGCCCTCAGCCACCAACGTAATGTCCTCCAGCACAGGGGCTTGAGCAGGTAAACCCAGCTCAATCTCCCCTTTCTTTAGGCTGTTAAATGGTGTTGATAGAATTAGTTGCATCGGTGGGAGTGATGTTAGGGGGTTTTCCCTCTTTTGCTTTGTGTGCCTTTGTCACCCAAGCCCTGGCTGGACTGCATGGTGCAGGGAACGCTGCCCACACAGCTGAAATTCAGGCTGGGTCCCTGGGCAGGCCTGAGGGAATGGCTCTGTTTTCCAGGAATGTGAAGCATCCCACCTTTGCCCTCTGCACAAACGCTGCCAGCAAAACTTCTGAAGTTGATGCAGATGTGCTGACAAAAAGCTCTTTATCTCGTCTTCTGTACAGAGGTGAGGTGTCTCTTCTGACAAACAGACCTTCTGCTAAATCCATGCTGGCAGCTTTGCTGGCAGAGCTGTTTTCATGGAATCACAGACTAGTTTGGGTTGGAAGGGACCTTAAAGCCCACCCAGTTCCAACCTCTGCCATGGGGCCCAGAGGCTTGCCCAGGGCCCCATCCAGCCTGGCCTCTGCGGATGGGGGAGCCATCTGTTTTGAGTCAGGACAAGTTAAAACCTAAGCCTCCCCAGCCTTGCTGCTGCTCATGGTGTGCCTGAGCCCTGCTGCTGGAGCTCTGGTCCTCAGCAGCTGTGTGCTGGTGGGAATGCCTGTCACTTAATGAAGCACAAGGAAAGAAATGCTGTGGCTTTTGCATTCAGAGAAGAAAAGGAAAAAACACTGGATTGGACCTGATTTGTGTGTGAAAGGGAAGTTCAGTGTGGTCCAGCCCATGCTCATTGCTTAAACCCTCATGCACAGAAAGGTGTCAGAGGGGGGCCTGTGCAATCCAGGCTGAGTCCAAGGTGTGAGCATGGTGCTTTTGGGGACTTTGATCCCCTCAGTCAGAAAGGATGCCTGGCTGGGTCTGGAGAGGAAATGCCTTTCGTTTGGCAGTCACTGCCTTGAGCCTTCTCTGGGTGGCTCTGGCCACATGTAACCCCCTGGAGTGCCTCCTGGGTCACTTCAGGCCAGGCCCGCCAGGATGGCAGAGGAGCACAGGTGACACAGAACTGAAACCTGCTGTGTTTCACTCTGCTGTCACATCTCTGCTCCTTTGCCTTCCCCTGGTGCAGCGCACTTGGGGCTTGTCTGCCCCTTTTTCTGTTCAAGCAAATTGCTGCTGGGAAACCTCCTTTTGAGCTATTTTCTAACATGTGTACTGGCAAATACTGATTTCACTCTTGTGATAGATGTCTTTCTTCCCTGAGAGCTGGGCTGTGTTAAAAATGTCCCATGTCTGCAGCTGCCCTGTGCTCTTCCCTTTTAATCTGCAGTGGAGGTTTGTCATTGTGTGAATGAAGCACTGGGTCTTTAATGAAGGATGCTGCTTCCACTCCACGTCAGGAATCATTAGTGCAGACACTGCTGGGACTTGTTGCTAAAGGAATGGGTTTGCCAGTGCCCAAATTAATCCAGGAATTGCCTGGCTTCTGAGCACTCAAAGCCTAAATCTACTTGACAGCTTCTGGAGGGACAAATATGGTGTGGAAATATTTGATCTCTCAGCCAGCTAATAACTTGAAAACAATGTAAGTCAGTGATTATAAAATGCTCTGAGAGACAAAAGGAGAATTTACATTTGCATCGTAGAGCTTCAGTCCAGCGTGACTCTCAAAACAAGCTGCAGTTGCAGATAATGCATTTGTACTTTGTGTGGACATCTTCACCTCTCAGAGCCCCTTGGAAGCCGGGTCACATCCTCCTGGTGGCACAGACTGGGGTGACCCGGTGCTGTGTGCACTGCTGACACAGGAGGCTGGTGTGCCATTTGGGGGGAGCAGTGGAGCGGTATTATCTGTGCCACGTGTGCTCCTCCCGACACAGCCACGTTCTGGGCAAGTGAATGAAAGCCCATTCCTTGGGGCTTCGGCAGTGTGTAACATCTCCAGGGCCAGGCACAAAGCTTCCTGTGCTCTCACAGCTTTGCCGTGGGTACGGTTGCTCCTTCCCCTAAAGCACAGCACGTTGCCCCACCGGCTCGCTGAGCAGCACGCAGCTCGGCCCAAGTGCCAGCAAGCTCATTGTGAGCACACAGCAAACGAAGGTAAATTGCTAGGACAACTCACTTAGCTCCAAGGGAGACCCTCACCTGAAGCTACCAGGTTTCGTTATTCATCATTTTCTCTGGAAGTTCACTTTTGCCCTGGGGCTGCATTACGGTGCGTTGCTTCCAAGGCTGCGGCTGCCTGCAGCAGCGGAGCAGTGTGCTCAGCCCATGCTGCTCTCACTGGGCAATGGAGGTGTTTGCAGAGCCTCAGCCCCTCCGAGCTTCTGAGTATTTGCATGAAAAATTACCGCTGCTCTCTTTGCTTCTCTTCAGGCTCACGCTGTAGGCTGCTGTCCCAAAGGAGCCCAATCAGATCCAGATGTCTCACCAGTTGTATGTGTTTTTTAATCTGTATCCCAACTTCACATAAGGCAGTATCTGATTTCTACATGCAGTCTCCACCGCCCAGAAACGAAAATACATCTCAAGCAAAAAGCAAGACATTCAAGGAGTGGAAGTCCTCCCAGGAGTAGAAAGAAGCACCAGATCTCAGGTTTCTTGTCTCAGCCTCGGAGCCAGAAGCCGGGTGCAGTGGTGGCAGGGTCACTGTAGCACTTGGGATGATGGTTTGTTCTGCTGGGATTGGTGAACGGTGAACCCACCACCTCTCTGGGCACCTTGTGCCAGTGCCTCGCTGCCCCTGTAACAAAAAGAATTGGATCTGGGAGGATTGGGGCCAGCAAACCTGAGCTGGGGCTGGGAAGAAGCAGGGCTGTGTGGGTGAGGAGGAGGAAGGTGAGTTAACAGCAAGGCTCAGGAGCTGGTGCTGCGTGGAGGTGAGGGGCGTGGATGATGTATGGACACCAGAAGGAGTTCAAGTTTCAGAGCAATGATTGGTGGCGCAGGGTGACAGCCAGACATGCTGTGTGTTGGTGTGCAGCTCCCTGCAAAGGGCTCCTTGAGTCACTCCTGTGAACCTCCCTGCGCCTACAGCGGAAAGAAAAGTCAGAAACGATGCTTTTTGGAGGGAATGAATGGGCAAAGAGAGGCAGTGCTGTGTCCCAGTGAAGCTGCAGAGCTCTGTACCATTCCACTCTGTGTTTGTGCACTGCTCCTTGGAGAATGGGGAAGCTGGAGGGGAGCGGAGGAGTTTAGGAAGTTCACAAGCAGAGCGTTTGTGTTGTTTCTGGCATGGAATTACCGGCTGTGGGCGTCCCTTCGTGGTGCCATCCACCTCCCACAGCCACAACCGACCCCACTGCTCCCATTAAGGGAGGCTCCGTCGGTTCCCGGCACAGCAAGGCTTGGGCTGTGGGTTGGGCCACAAGCAAGGTGCAGCCGGAGCCAGAACGAAGCTGATCAGTGTGGGATGGAGTGCTGGAGGCAGCTGCTGCTGAAATGAGGCACAGTGCTCTGCCTGCTGCTCGGGGCCACGTGGGATCCCCACAGAGAGCCGCAGTCCTCAGCTTTGTGCACAGATGTGAGCGCAGTCACTGGTGTCCCCTCCCTGGGCAGAACACGCTGCTGACGTCTGGTTGTGGCTGTGCTAATGCTGTGCGTTAGTCCTGAAAGAGAAAGGGGAAAGAGAGAGAAGGGTTTGTGTCTTCTCCTGACTATGCAAAACCGAATGAAACAGGAGACAGAGGCTACAAATCCACCCTGTCCCAGTGCAGCCCAAAGATAAAAGCGTTAAAATGCTCTGTAATTAGAGCCAGCCTCAAAGAAGACTTTCTATGACGGCAGTAGGTCAGATGCTCAGCTCTTACACCCTATGGCACAGAATGAAAGAACGCAATTTTTCAGCGGTGCTGGGGTTCTCATTTGGCTCAGCAGCAGCTCAGAGGTATTTTTCCTTTTGTAAGAAATAGGAACTGATGGTGAGATTCTGACTGCTTGGGTGGCACAGAAATTGTATATATATATTTAAATGATGGTCTTTTCTGGTTCCTATACCTTTCAACATAAGCACTGCCTTTTACAAAGAAACAAGGCAAAGTGAAAGCATCAGTTATATGCAGCATAGGCTCAAGCAGTTGATTAGTACGTGTTACTCTGAAAGTTACATCAGTTTGTAAGGTTGCTGAATGGCCCCCCTGGCCCTGCTGGGCTCAGCCAGGAGCACACGAGCTCCTACAGACTGCAGAGGCGAGTGCTCCCTGTGCAGGTCAGCGCTCAGCTTTGAGCGTCCTGCTGATTAAACTTGCTTTCGTGGAGACAGAGGCTCTGGGTTATATGGAGAGTAGAAGAGTCACAGGGCTTAGCTTAAGGGCTGATTTCTAATCTGGGATGACAGCATTCATAGCCTGTGCTATAACCACCTATTCAAGCTTATTTTTGAAATTCTGCTTTTTCAGTGTTCAAACTGAAAACTCAGTTACCAGCGATCCCCAAACGCTTCCTGAAATCAAGAGCTGAACTCCTGAATGAGCAGCACGTGGCTGTCACCTCCTGCACCTCGCTGCTCAGAGCTCTGCAGCCTGATCTCCTGAAGCCCTGGGCAGCCACCCCACCTCTCTGCACCTCTTCTAGGTGACACTGGGGCTGTGGCACTGAGGGATGTGGTCAGCGGGCATGGAGCAGGTGGGGTGTGGATTGGGGAGCTTACAGGAGCACAACACTGCTGGGCATCACTGGTGTTGTTTGCAGCTTTAAAAACATGGTTTCAAGACTTGAATTCAGGGATGAGAGAGAAAGAAACGTGGCAGAACACAGACAGAGCCACTGGGTTGATGTTTGGGGAATGTCACAGTGCATGAGGGAGTTAGGGTAGGGGTTAGACTTACTAGGCTTTGCGTTTGAGTTAGAGTGAGCTCGGCCTTGGGTTTGAGTTAGGGTTAGGGTTGGGTTCATAACTTGCTCTGTTGGTAGTAATGTGATGCCAGACACGAGCTGCCAGCTTTTAGCTGTGTGTGTGATATTGAAGTCTGCGTGTAACGAGAGCCCTGAGGACAGCCCCAAACTGTGCTCTGCTCCTGCCCAACTGTGGGTGCAGGGAACACGCTGCTGGTCCTGGGATGTAGAGCGGGGGAGCCCAGAGCTGCAGGGCATGCACAATTTGGCAGGCTGGCTTGTGCAATCAGGGCAGCGCTCTTAAAGCAAAGTTTTCTGTAATTTCAAGATTAAATTTCTGATCTGTGTGCTTGTTACTTCGAATGGAAGAAGCTTACTGTAAATTGAAGCAGTTTACTGTTTACTGTATTGCAAAGCAATACGTGGGCAGGGCTGTTGATTAGTGCCCAGCTCCCAGCAACAGGTGGGACAGCAGAGCTTCTGGCACCACCTCAAGCATTCACTGCTGAAAACATTTAGGTCAGCACTGGCAATGTAGGATTTTGTTCTTCTGTTTTCACAAACAAATGAAAAAAAAACCAAAAAAGAAACAAGAAGAGATGGAATGGATCCATGCAAATTAAAAAGCAGCAGGAACGGAACTGGGCATTCACAGTTTCAAGTACTGGTAAGCTCTCTATCATAGAGGGAATCAAAGGCAATTTTTAAGCAGCTATTGTGTGTTCTGCTTTGAACTGATTGTTGTTAATGTCTCATTAAAAGCAGCTGAGCTGCATTATTCAATTTTCCATACTGGCCTGGAAGCCCACAGTGTGGCTGACTGCTCCGATGGGTGGCTGTTAAACTCCTTCTGTGGCAGAAAGAAGGAACAGAATAAATAACAGGCAACTGATTTTTTCTGCCTTGGCCAGGTGAGCCAATGCTGAAGTGCACATAACTCCAGGGTATTGCATAGGAGTTGCTTTTCTGATGCAGGGAGGTGCTGGAGATTCCTCCCACCTGCACTGATTCCTGCACAGTGGTGCACTGCGATTTTGTAGCTCAGTGTCACTGGATCTTTTGTCCACCTTAACTTCTAGACTTTCTTTCCATCTGTCTTTTTTTCCCTCCTTTGTATCCAACTTCTTCTTTTTTTCCTTCTCCTTTAGTTTCCCAACGTTCCATCATCTCCATGCATGATATTTTTTCCCTTCTCGTTTTTCCCTTCTGGGTTTTTCTCTTTTGTGGTACAGGAGCACAGACTTCAAGATCAGTATCTCCCTTCACCATCTTCACCTCTCCATTTGCCTGTGTTTTCAGCATCAACTGAAATTCCCTTTGTATGGCTCCAGCTCATGTGATTGAGGAGTTGCTGTACGATCAGGTAAGCTTGCAGACACAGCTGGTTTTATAACATCCTCCATAGTGCCCACAGAAGCAGAGCCCAGCAGCAGCTCCCACCAGGAGTTTGGGCCATACAACCCGAGCAGTGTGGGTTTGTCCTGTTAAAAGATGTTGTAATACGTATGGATAACTTGAAGCAAAGAATACCTTCCATAGCAACTGCAGTGTTTGTAGCAGCAATAGCATATGGGAATGCCTCAGCGCTGCACTTCACTGATTGTCTGTATGGACATGCTGCAAGGAGCTGAAGTAATGAAGCACTGCCTGGAAAAAATATATGCAAAGCCAAATTTTTACAACTAGCGTAAGCAACTTCTAAATGAAAACCTCTGAGAATCAAAAGGGAAGAGCTCATCAGGCACTGCTAGCCCAAGCAGCATGCGCTAAGCCACGTCTCGTCGGGTTGTATGGCAGCCCTGCGCCCTGCGGGTGTGCAGCATCCCCACAGCGGCAGCTCGGCACTCACCCCGCTCAGAACACAGACAAAAACTCTGCATGGGGACAGCCAGGCACTGCTGGGCGACCAGGAATGTTTAGTCCAGAAGGAGAAGCAAGGGGGTTTCTCTGTGCTATGTCCCAGGTCTCGTTCCCTGAGCTCCAGCACTCCTGCCTGCTGCACAGAGCAGCGAGACCAACGCAAACCCCAGAGATCTTAAAAGTTAATCTTGTTGTGGGATTAAATACTACAGAGCAGCATGTAAAAACGTAAGAAACAAGTTTTCAAGAACAAGCTTTCTTTATTTTGACGCCCTTCATTTTTTTCCCCATTAATAAAGTTTGGCATGATTTTAAATCCAGGTCACGAGAGACCTTGAGCGGTCACCAAAGGCAGTGGTGGGATGCTGAAACCAGAGAGGAGGTGACTGGCAGTGGTAGGAGACAGACAGGATGCTGGGGAGGAAGCACCTTTTGAGAGCATTTTCTCAGCAGTAAGAGATTTGCAAAGGGTAGGGATTGTGGTAGAGTTATCTGGAAAACATCTCTAATTCTTATAGATATAAAGCCCCGTGGATTTTTAGTTCTGTATAACACGTAGAAACTAATACAAATGTAAAGCATGTTTTAATGGACGTCTTTTAGCATAAGTAATACTCAAGAAATATAACAAAACACAAAGTATTGAGTTACTTCCCAGAGTCCCATTGTTTTTATTCCACGTACAAAGAAACGAATGAGCCCTGAAGCAGTTTGAGAGGTAAAGGTCAAATATTGGGTACGTATTCAGCGTTTTCAAACTAAGAAACTGTGGAGCTCTGCAGTCCCTTGTACACAAAGAGCTTGTCAGCACGAGTTGCTGAGAGTGCTGGGAGATCGGTGCTGGCAGCCCGGGGGAGACGAGCAGGAAGGGTTTGAGCTGAAAAGCACAAAGAAGAACAGAGTTAATCGTGGTCTGTAAAACCAACGTTTCTTGTATTTGCTCCTTTGGCATCGCAGTGCCACTCCAGAACAGGGGCCAACTGTTAACAGAGGCAAAGCCAACTTCATCCTTTGCAGGCTGACGAATGGTCATGTAAGTTACTAAATAACCCAAGACCTCAGGATTAAACTTCTCCAATTGTTTTCACATGATGCAACTTTAAATCTCTCTTTTGAACAGTATTAAATTTCCTTTCATTCCCATAAACTTCAGAAAAAGTTGACTGCTCTCACATTTCAGACTGTGACCCAGCTAACTTGCACTTTTCCCCTCTGCTAGTCTGGAGAACTGAATAATGAAATTCAGACAACGGTGACCAAATGTTGCTCCATGGAACTTTCCTTTTACAAAACAGATGAATGCTCCTGGGCTCCAAAACACTGCAGGGAACAAAACTTTCAAACCTTTATGGAAATAAAATAGTAAGCCTATGCAGTGACTTCATCTCCTTTATCAGATCAGAGACGTTTTCGCTGGAATCGAAACGGATTAGAAAAAACCCTCTAAGTAGAGGAAAAGAATTAAAATATCCCACTGAAGCCATTACTGAAACACTGCTTTATTTCAGAAAACACACCCACGTGAGTGAACGCTGAGTTTCACAGAGGAGAAGAACTGCCACATCATCATCGTTCAGATGGAAGGGTGCTGCGGTCAGTCAGGAAAATAAATATTTCAGTGTTTGTGATCAAAGGAAAAGATCAGGCCGTGTGCTGTGCGTTCTGATCCTGACACAGGGCTGTAGAAAATGACCACGGCTATGTGGCCATGTGAGGGCTGGGATTTCTCTCTGGAGGTGCTCTCAGATCTCCTGGAAACCCGAGCAAGTTTGTCCATCCAGCACCTCGCCAGATGAGGCCCTTTATTTACACAGTGAGAAATGCCCACTGCGCTGCGGATTTGTTGCTGTGTGAGTGGGACTGCAGTCATTTAAGCCCGTTGCAAACGAAGCCACTAGAGTCAAAATAAAAGGAGCCAAAATATATAAATCCAGCAGGCAAAGTTTATGGGGGAACTAAACCAAACATTCAACATGGAGATTTAGTGCGGCCAAACCGTCGTAACTAACCAGGGTACCTGACATCATCTCGTGTCCTACGGGCACGGTCCCCGTTTTAGTGGCCTGTTCTGCTCAGGCTGATATCAATAAAAGTTTTACATGCAAAATGAGTGGAAAATACGAGATGTTAGATAGTGCAGTACAAGTCTATAAAGCCGATACCCCTGTCACGCTCCTGGCAACCCCAGCCAACTTCCATGCAAATTCCACCAATGGATCTTTACTGATTTTGTCTTAATTGAAAGCCTTAAAGGTGAATTGAAACGCTGTTGGAATAAAAACCTGTTTAAGATGCCAAATCCCTAACAAAATCCCAGTGCAGGCTTACAAGTAAATAAATTGTAAAGGCAAATGTGCAGGCCTACTTATTAACCTGTCAAACCACGAATTCTGGAATCTGTTCTTCTCTTGCAAAATTTGTGACATTCTTCTCCCCCTAATGACTGGAGTATTTTACTGCTTTGCAGGCCTGGCAACAAAGATGACATTGTTTAGGAAGGTGGTGAAATCTGCCTTGCTTATGGTGATGACTGGGGGACCACTTCCCCATTAATTTATGTGCAGAATTGGGAGGCGCAGTCCGGATGCCGTGGCCCTTTCCTGGCAGTGCTGCTCACTGCACGTGGGGCTGCCCGTGAGGTTGTCTGATGTGGTGTGAAGTCGTGGTTGGAGGCAGCTGAGTGTGAGGGTGGTTCCGTTTTCCAAACTGTTGCTTTAATGGCCTCCTTCCTGAATTCAGTTGTTGAGGACGAGGTCAAGTGATTCCTCTTGCAAAAAGCAAACAAGCTGTAAGAGAAATCGTGGGCCCTTTGACAGTAAGGGCCTTCACCTGACGTATTTTGCACAAGTGTAACGTGGTCATACCCAAACTAAACTCGATCCATTACCTTCTTTTGGAGACTCACTTCTTGGGGTAATGAGGAAATCAGAGCTGAAACAATTGCAGTGCTTTCCTACTGAAAGATCCCTACAAAGCTCAGCAATTGCAGTGTAAATCAGCAGCTGTGGGACTTGGAAGCATCTCTGCTGCATGCTGCTCCTGTTGCCTGTCCTGCTCTGCACCTCGTCTGGTAGTTGAATTAATGCTTTGGAAGGGACACTGAATCTGATGAAACGCCGGGTGTCAGCATGCAGTCATGAAAATAATAACAGCATAAATAATGCATAATAAGCAACCCCATGTTTGCATGTGTTATTAAGAAGTCACTGGTGTTTGTGTCCCATTCTATCACCCTTGTTCTTCCAGAAGGGTAACATTACATGTTTCGGAGCTATGTAACTCAAGAATATAAAGAACAGAGTCCTTCTGCTATATATATAAAATTCCAACGTAGTACACATATGAAAGGCAAAGAATTGTGGTCTGTTTCAAGGCTTTTGCCTTTATCTTTTCCATTGCCTGCTGCCAATTTTCAAAGTGCTCCCAGATCACAGCCCAAGCTAGATTATCTGAACAAGAGCTCGGCCTCCCGGTCCTCCCTGCTGCCACTCCGCAGGGATGCAGCCTGTCCTCTGAGCCCAGCAGTGCTCTCTCCCACTGCCACCCATGGCTCCCCAGTCCTTTGCTTTCCTCTTCAGGCAAAGACATTTCAGCTTGAGAAGAAAGCAGAGCTGTGCACACTGGCACCAGCACACCTACCTACTCCTTGGCTTTATTGGTCCCCAAACGAAGGGAGGCCCCGGAGGGGCTGTGCTTCCCCCCTCCTACAGACACACTGAAATATATCATTATTTGGACTGCACTCGCTACAGAAAGCTCAGCTGGGAAATGCAGGATGTGCTCACTGAGACAACGTCAGCACTGCTGTCTGACACGATTCCCACCCTCAAGAATTGTCAGCGTAAGCACAGAGATTTGCTCGTCTCCAGTACTCTGTAAGTACCTCCCATTGCTGTTTCCTACACCATTTAAAGATCAGTGGTGAACTCACATTTAAATGGGGACTTTCCATGTGTGCGTGGATTTTAGGAATCTGTGCAGAGCCTGGCCTTGTCTTCAGCTTCCTCTCTAGAAGCCTCACTGGGCTCTGATTCTAGTTGCATTTCAAGTGGGCAGAGGATGATTGTTATGGCCTCGGTGGTTGAAATGAGAAAGATCTGGAATAGATTAATGGGAGTATGAGAGATGGAAAGGAAAACAAGAACAAGACACAATACTTCGGAACACACACTGTCGATTCTCTCTCTTAGCTTGCTGTACTTCTGACACTTCTCTTAGAATATTTTGCTTATCATCCTCTTGTTAAGTTTATTGTACTTACAAATCATTCCCAGACAGCCAGCTCCTTAGATATCTTTTCATTAAGAAAAAAAAAAAAAGAATAAGAAGGTTTAGTGTGTAATACACTCTCCCTGCAGGAACCGATTCCTCAGTGATGCTGACTACAAGCCTCTCCTTGTTTTAAAACACACAGCCATGCATCAGGCAGCGGGCTCCTCTCCCCAGAGCCACCTCCTGAGCCTCTATCTGTGCATCGCATCTCTGCAGCATCCTGCAAACCAC